GAAGGAAGGAAGGAAGGAAGGAAGGAAGGAAGGAAGGAAGGAAGGAAGGAAGGAAGGAAGGAAGGAAAGGGAGAAGGAAGGATGGAAGGAGAAAGAAAAAGGAGAAAGGGGAGGGAGGGAAAGAAAAAGGAGAAAGAGAAGGCAGGCGGGAAGGAAGGAAGGAAGGAAGGAGTGTGTGTGTGTGTGTGTATTTATATTTGCAGGTTAATAAAAGGAAAAAATAGGTAAAGCACACTTAACAAGAATTAAAATAACAAAAAGAACGGAAAAGATCCTGTTAATTACGGCTCCCTCCCAGTTTTAATGAGCGGCTAAGAATCTGAAAGCAAAATCTGCCGGTTAGACGCAAAGAGAAAATTAAGGTTCCAGGTTCTGCAACGTCAGCAAACGGGGGTGAAAACCAGCAGGGTTCTAACCAGGAGCTCCTCGCTCTCCTTCCCAGATGACCCAGGAGCCGGAAAATGTCCTGGGGTTGCAGTGGAGAGAGATGGACCCATCCAGGATGGAACAGCTCCTGGGGGATCTCGTGGCCCGTGTTCGAAAGCTGGTCTCGGAGCGAGACGCAGGATTGGAGGTGAGAGATGCAGCTGTCGTCTGTCCCTCCCTCTTCTCGAAGGGAGGACCTGCCAATCACCAGAGATCAAATCAGATCAGATCAAATCGAAACTTTAGGACGCTTGTGGTCTGCCTTGCAAGGTAGTCCGGAGAAGAAGCACGGCCAGAAGGACTAGCTCTATCTTTATTGTAAGGTTCTATTAACAGGATCTTGCAAGTCTGACAGTCCATCTCTCCCCTGCTCACAAGACTAGGGAGGGTATCTTCTGAGACGTTTGCCACACCCCCATTCCTTCTGCGGGCTCAGCTGCCGCTTATCTAACTGTCGCCTAGTCTTTCTTTTTCCTTGCTGGTCTGGTTGAATTGTCTTTCGGTCTATAGCAGTGTTTCTTAACCTTAGTCACTTTAAGAGGAGTGGACTTCAACTCCCAGAATTCCCCAGCCAGCCATGCT